CTCGCCCTTGGTCTTCCGACACGCCACAGTGTCTGACACTGTAATTGAGAAAAAGAGCCAGTAAGCATCTCTCTTTGGGTTTGTACCTGCGAAGGAAGCCTGTCCCCATGTTTGCAACAGCTCAGTCTGCCCATAGCAATGGGTGGCATCTCGGGGAGATCATCAACCTGCCGTTGAGTTTTGCTGCGGCGTCCGAAAGCGTTCATGAGTTCTGCAAACTGTGGTGCTCCGTCCCCTTAGCACTGAGATCATAGAATCATAGAATCATAGAATCATAGAATGTTTTGGGTTGGAAGGGACCCCTAGAGGTCATCTAGTCCAACCCCCTGCAGGAGCAGGGACACCTTTAACCACATCAGGTTGCTCAGAGCCCCGTCCAACCTGGCCTTGAATGCTTCCAGGGATGGGGCCTCCACTACCTCTCTGGGGAACCCATTCCAGTGTTTCACCACCCTCATTGTAAAGAATTTCTTCCTTATATCCAGTCTAAACCTACCCTGGTTTAGTTTAAAACCATTACCCCTTGTCCTGTCACAGCTGGCCCTACTAAAAAGATTTTCCCCGTCTTTCCTATAGGCCCCCTTTAGGTATTGAAAGGCCGTAATCAGGTCTCCCCGCAGCCTTCTCTTCTCCAGGCTGAACAAGCCCAACTCCCTCAGCCTGTCCTCATAGGAGAGGTTCTCCAGCCCTCAGATCATTTTTGTGGCCCTCCTCTGGTCCTTCTTGTGCTGAGGGTTCCAGAGCTGGACGCAGTACTCTAGGTGAGATAGCCACCTGGAGTTTGCTCGCTCAACACTAGCCAGGCAGACTGAACATCCAACATCGCATCAGCTGCGCACGTATCATGGGCTTGTTCCTCATTTACAGAATCGCTCTCCCCGTTCCCCAAACACAGAAATGCAGGTTGGTTGTAGTTACACCTACCTGCAGCGGCCTGGGACACCACGAGGAGAAGCAGCAGCAGGAAGAGGATCTTCACAGCTTTGGCTGACATGGTGGAGTGTCACCACAAAGCTGCTGAGGCCAAGGGACACTACAAGAGGAAGGAATGAACCTGTATTTATAGGGCTGTGATGAATGCATTCCACAGGGATTTAGCAATCGTATTTGGATCCAAATAATATATTTAAAGGATGCACCTTGGAACCTCTAATTACCAACTCTTGTGTGGATAGATACCACGGCGTATCCCCACCCCAAAAGGAATTATCCTCTTAACGTCGACACCTGACGGCTCCCTGTCTTGATCCAAAGCACCGTCTCCTCCACGAATAGCACAGACAGGCAGATATTTCAGCAACCATTTAGCCAGAGCAATGTCCACATGCACGCGCTTCAAGGTGTTTGCACAGTCATATCTCGATAAGATGCAGCTTTGCCTCCAGAAATTCAGATTTTACACAGAAAGGAACATTTGTTCCCATTTTTGACCCCAAAAAAGATTGCCCGAAGCCACATAGAGACTGAATCCAGAGTCAGTCCCACCAAGACGTTGTAACTCGGCGTGCAGCTCCAGCAGCACAGCTAAGAGGTCTCTGCAACTTCTTGTGCTCCCACTTAAGACGGGTTTAAAGTATGAGAAGGTGCAGCAGAGTCCCAAAAAACCACTTGGAGGTTGGAGAAACGTCTTTGCATGGAGGAGCTGGAGGACCTTCATCTGTTAAGCTCTCTAAATAAAATATGGAGAGGTGACTTCACCACCCTCTGGATGCCACTTCCTTGGAGACCTAAGGGGTTTTTGGCAAGAGAAGCTCCTGGGCGCTGAAATCCAGCAGAGAAAAGCACAGCCAAACCAGTGGCTGGAAGGCAGCCAGAGCAACTGGGAGTTGGCAAACTGGGGAGGGTGGCTAGCTCTGGGAATATCTTCTGGGAGGCTTTCTGGCTTGCTTCTTCTCTGGCCAGAATTGTTTTGAGGTGGTAATGGCACGTCTCATGTGGCATGGGAATTTATTCCTGGCTTGGAACAAAGCCTTTGGGTGGGGGGGGGGACATACCAACTTTGTCATCAGTCACTTTGAGACTGAGAAAAGACAGCTGAGGCACCTCGGGGTGGCTCCTTCCCGGGAATGGTGTCGGTGGAGGGCAGGGGGGGATGAGACGATGAGGTTCACACATCTTCTGTGGGTGACAAGAAGGGAAACGCCACATCGCGCCCACACGAACCCTTGCAACTTCCTCACTGCTGGATTTGCGAGCAAAGATGGTTCTTCAACAGCCTGCCCTCAGCTTTGGAAGAGGCTTCGGTGCCCATTAGAGGCTTGGTTGTGCTTTGCATGCAGAAGGTTGGGTTTTCTAGGAACGGGCCATTTGGCAGCCATAGTACTGGTTGCACTATAAACTGTGGCTATAAACAAGGCTTGGAGACAACCAAGACTGAGCTTCCCTTGGCTCCAGAGCCCTCTTCACGCCCCTAGCTTTATTAAAATGCTTCACTGGAGCTGGGCCCAACAGCTCAACATTGTTATTTAATGAAACACCTTGCTGAATACGGACACGGCAGCTGGACGAGAGGAAAAGCGGGCTGTCCCTTCCACCCCTGCCTTTTTTAACCCCACTGCCCACCAAATCCAAATGCTGGAGCTGAGGCTGCAAAGATGCAAAGTTCTTACAGTAAAAAACAGTGCTGGACACCAAGGAGAGACCCCGGTGGTGCTCCCTTGAGGAGGGACAATCGGGCAAGGACATCTCTGAGCGGTTTGGCTCCCCGGTCAGCGGCACATCCATGGCCCTGAGCACACACAGGATATTTAGTTCATCGCTCACATGCAAATATCAAAGAGGGGAGCTACAGAGCACGGCAGGGACAGGCATAACGTACCGGGGACCTATAGAGAACCCTGGAAACTGAGCTTTTGCATTTCAAAAAGTCCCCGTGCCAGGACTCAGCTGAATGGGTGAGAAATTTTCCTCCTCTTAAGCAAGAGCATCCAGGCTTAGTTCCCAGGCTTGCAAAGAAACTCGGCTAAAATTTCAAAACCCGGCAGTAAATCATAGAATCATAGAATCATAGAATGTTTTGGGTTGGAAGGGACCCCTAGAGGTCATCTAGTCCAACCCCCAGTGCAAGAAAGCCCCCAAACACGCGTGCATCACGACAGCCCAGCTGGCCCACGAAGCTTTGGGAGCTTCCCGTGTGATTTTGCAAAAGCCATGACAAAACCCAAGACTTAAACCCTTTTCCTGAGGATTTATTTTCTAGGAAGCACGTGCTTCTCAGGGGATGGAGCCCACGGGGCTGGAGATCGGGGTTGGGGAAGCAGATGGGACACAAGGGCACCCGCAACCGCCAACGGTCGGGTTGAGTTTTCACAAAGGTTTCGTTTCTTGGTGGGGG